TCCCCTGATCCACCGACTGCTCGAGAGCGGCAATCTCCCGAAGCTTCTTCTCCAGCTTGCGGGCCTTCTTCGGCCAGTTTCTATTCTAATCGTCTTTGCTGCTATTTTTCATGTTTATTCATGTGGCTCTTATTATGCTCGGGCTTGCTGGTATCCTGCTCCCGTCGCTTATGTATAGTAACCCTGGCCGTCGCCTCCCGCTCCTCTTCAGTGCTGAGCACCCAATGCTCTGGCTGCCACTCGCCCGAGGCACCCTTGGCTTTGCTTTTGACACTGCGGGGCTTGCGCCAAGCCCCCGATGTCCAAGAATCACCCGAAGCTGTGGTGCTTGTTCCGGACTCGCTCCACGTGTCGCTGGTCTGATTCGTGCCCGCCTTCTTCTGGCTGGCCTTCTCCAAAGCCCGGCGCTGCAGTTTGGGGCAGGCCTTTGCTGAATGCCCCACCACCTTGCAGTACTCGCAGGTACGGTAGAACCTCGCTCACGGGTTGCGCAACCCAGCCCAGGACACTGGAAACATACTGGTACTGGGCCTGTCGCACAAAATACGACGAGCAATATACTCAATGGAAGAACAGGGTGCGGCATCTTTGGACATTGGGCCGCACGGTGGCCCTGTCCGTTGCATCGGGAACAGATCTGGCTGTCGGTGGCTGCCATGGCTCTTTCACGGGCGCTAGGCGAGTCGGAGTGGAGCTAGTTTTTGCTGAACATGCCTGCAATGATAGCAGCTTCGTTTGAACAAGGTGCATATCATGTAACATATCGATGAATTACACCACGAATGTTGACCGGCGTCTCGTCCAGGTCCGCCTCTCCGAAGCTTGAAGATCTTCAGGGCCCTGACCCTAACGAAAAGGAGCTTCAAGCCTTCTCCCCCGACGGCAGCCCCAGGCTACCGTCCGACCCCCCGAGCTTCTGACCTTCACCGGCTGGAAGCGTCGCTCCAGGGCCTCGCATGGATGGGAATGCTCGTGCGCATCTACGGAGTCTACTGCTTGCTACTGCTCATTATCTCAAAAACAATCTCCATTGATGCCACTATGAAATTACATGATCCTGATGTAGTCTTGTGATGCGTGTCTTTTGTTCCATGGTCGTGCAAACAGGTTGGGATGCTGCTTAGATGTCCGAAAATTGACTGGACGGAATTATGTCACTACCGTGTTCTTTTAGCATTCTCAGTAGTCCGCTCAGTCAGGCAGCGCTGTGATCTTCTACTAGTGCATGAGAGCGCTATAAACTATGGTTCTATGCGTTGTATCGCTGATTTTCTGCCTGCTTGTTGCGATGATGACGTTGGTATTAGCGTAATTGCCACGATCGTTCTTGAGGCTTGTAGATTGCCAGCTGTTGATGCGATAGCTTTGCCATTCTGCTGAGCACAGCGACAACGGCGACGACGACGGGTAAGGAGGCCAGAACTCGCTACAATCGAAAGCCTAAGCTGTAGTCCTACTCAGATCGGGGGCCCCAAATTAAATGCAAACACTTCCCAAACTTGAAAGCCGCACCCCCCGCAAGTCCGCAGGCCTTGTCCTTCTCTACGTACTTCCGGTACTCCTCGTTGGTGGTTGCTCCGATCACCTGCTGTAAGACTGCAGGTCTAGGTCTACATCTGCCACGGTATTGCCATTGCTCTTTACTTGATCTTGCTATTCAGGGGCTGTACATTAGAGATGGTCGTTCTTCGTCTTCAACGCGGCACGAGTGCACTGGTGCGGTTATCCTGCGCATCATGCCTACCTGCAGTTCCGCCCGGGTGCATCCTCTCATCCTCCGTCAACGAGACCACCGGGCTCAGTGTCTGGAGTTTGTCTTTTGCTTGTTGCATGTTTGCCAGCGATAGAACACAACCCAATGTCGCTGCAAGCGACCTCATCGTTGTGTTGCCTGAAGAAGAGCCTCCCTTGCCTTACATCATACTAGGCCTCCAGACGATCCACTGCCGCTCGACAAGATCCTGCCTACGGGATTTGCAAAAGCACCTTTTGCAACTTCCAGGCGTGGGAAGCATACTGCACACTAAGTAATAAGTAAACCTCCTCTAGCTAATCGCTGAGCGTCTCGCCTCTCTCGACCCCGGACCCGGTCTGCCCACCTGGAGCTCACCACGAGACAAGGCAGGCTTCATGATATTCGCCGCGTCAATGGCGCCACCACCACCTTGAAAGCTGGGAAATCTCGGATGAAGGGCATGCATGTAGACTTTTGCTTCAGAGCTCTTTTCGAACTGCAAGACCTGTCCGCCAGCCTTGGGTATAAGAAGTATGTGATGCCGAAAAAATACCAGGCTGAACTGCCGATGCTGGAGTTGATTAATTATTCTAGTAACCCCCAATCAAGGATGTCTCCAAGAATGCTTCAGGGAACCGCTGCCCTCGCCACAGATCCTTCTTTAGTTTCCAAAACCCTCAAGGCTAAGTCTGCGCTGTACCAAAAAAAGCAGATCCTCCTTCTCAAACGCTTGCTGTTGCGATCAAGGATTTTGGGCCTGGGCTTTCCAACCGGAATCTCGGCACAGTAAGCAAATGAAACATGTCCATGGCCTCCATCGCCGGTCCCACCCGCTCCGACCAACGTGTGGATCTCGTCGATCATGAGGATGATGCTCTTCTCAGAGTCCAAGACCTTCAGGCACTCAGGGTGTCGACACCCAAGGAAAGCCCTGCTCAAGGGCTGTTCGAACACCAGTTCCTGTTCTCGCCGTGCCGCGCGGCTTGCACGCACCTTTGGATTTCGCACGTCGCATTTCACCCAGCCTCTAGCATTCGGGGTCAGCACTGGGGTTTTTAGGGTGACGTACCTATGGCTATAGCTATACAGGCTATGGCAATATACAGGCTGTAAAGCAACACTATTAGCGTTGGCCTCCTTGATCACGTTCTTCAAGCGCTCCTGATGCACGCAGACGTTGAAGGGGCACCGGCTGCGGATAGGCGTCGCGACTGACCATACCACAAGCTGCGACAATGCCGGTACGTACTACCCGGTTATCGGAAAACGTCAACTTTAGGGTCTGTGTCAGCGGATATCTGTCCTACTACGACGAATGCTGCTATAGGCAGATGACGACGACAACGGTTGCTTGATAACGGTGCTCTTTCCGGGTCTCTCTACTTTAGGCCTTAAGAAATGTCTTAACCGGGCGAAACCGACACCCTCCGCAGGACCAGTGCTCCTCCCACACTGCCACAACTTTGCGGACAAGTAGTGGAGTTTTCCAGCGATCGGATCTTGTAAAGCCGAACCCTGCTTGACGCAATGCACTGAATCTTCACGAACGGAAAGTACCTTCCATAAAATTTCTATAAATAAAAATCTGGGATAAAGTGCAGGGAGCTGGAGATCAGGGAATGAGGCCCACAGCTAAAGCGCTACCCGCCCTATACCCTTAGAAGCAAACCTGAAGCCTATCCGTAAGTCCCTACATCCCCAAAACCTAGGACCGTCTGCCGAACTCCGTTGGCTTCGAGGGTCCTCGAACTCCCCTCTGTACTTGGTGCCCGCGAGAAGCATTGCCAGGTCCAGCTGGACGATCTTCTTCCTCGGGGGCGACTCGGGGCTTCAGCTTATTTAGGGGCCTACGTAACTACATATACTATTTTGGGAGTTCCTTATTATAACTATGTATAGTATATTGGTTCTAAACATTCTAGAGGCTCTGTTCTGCGGTCACACTTCTGCCACTCACGTGCCCTCAAAGCTTGAGGGTGGAACGTTCCGTGATTTTCTTGGGCTTCAGGCTCAGGGTTTCACTGCAGGCTCGAAGTTGCGAGCTCCATGTTCGGGGTTTGATCTCAAGGGCCTTGGACTCGAGGATGAACCTCAGGTGCCAAACCCGAACCCCCCACACCGTTCTGTGGCCCCGGGCCCGACCAACATCTCCGGCACATCAGAGGTCGCGATTTTGTAGGCCAGGCCCTCGGCAATGGCCTGGGGATGTCGGAAGGTGCTTAGCCTTTGAGGTTTTCTTGGGACAAAGAGGAAGGGTTTCAAGGCGCTGGCTTGAGGGATCACCCCGGGATTGAACCGCTGGATTGGAGTGACCACAACAATGCGAGAGCTATGAAGCCGCAATGCTAGCCGCTCCTGGAATCGAAGATGCTTTGGCTGAAGGTGAAGGTTTAGGATTCAAGGATTTCGGCAGGTTGGCTAGAGTTTTGCTTTCAAGGTTTGGGGAAATCAGCACTTTTGCGCACACGGGTTTATGGGCGTTGACCGCTTTCCAACCACGAGATCCGACGCCGACACCCAGGGTTCTGGGTGGTCTTTCGAACCCGGAGCCAACATCTGTGCCAAAGTCACTTTGGGACGGGGTCTTGGGCAGCACCTTACGCTGGGGCCACCCACCGTTTTACCAACGCCGGGCTCGCCGATGAGTACAGGGTTGTTCTTCTGGCGACGCGCCAGGATCTGCCAGCCGCGGTTTCTTCGCTTGGGAGGGAGCTCTAGATCCGAAAGCTTTTACATGCGTTTGCAGTTCAAGCTTTTTGGGAAGACTGGCCTTGGCGTTCGGACTGTACTCAGCCCAAAGGAGTAACCTACTTAGGTAGTGTGGGTGGGACATGGGGCCTCGAGGCTACACTGCTACATTCGAGCTTCAGCTGACAAGACCGATCTGTCTCTTGAAAGCTGATCCTCTCATGTCTTGAGAGAGGACGGGATCAACTTTGGGTCGCTTTCCAAAGACTTATCTTAGGCATGGCATGACTAATCGGAGCCTTCTTCGCCTTCCAGTCCCGGCAACTGCCGGGAGCAGTCACTTTACTTGAGCGCTTGCGCATAGTTCAAGCCTACATGCTTGACTGTCTGGAAGCCGACATGTCCTTACCGGGAGTTCGCAGTGCGTGTGGAAACCGCTGCCGAAGCATTCCAAAGCTTGCATCCACGACGACACTGAGTGCTGCTTTTGCAACCCATCGTGCAATGCTACTGAATGGGCCCATTATCTCTGCTGAAAGGCCCCAGAAAAAAAAAAGATGATCGACAGCCTTTACCCAAAACGCAGCAAAACCCTCAATCGATACTTGATGCATGAGTTGACACGGTTCCTTCGGACTATATATTATAGACTTGCGACATGAAAGCGCGCACAGTCACAAGAAGCGGCCTGTACAGTTCGTTCGATCTCCGCCTCGCGGCCCACGAGCCTTGGCTGCCGGGCGAAGCACTCCGCAATGCCCAAATGCATCTCCCTCACACTTGTGCTCGAAGCGACCGGTCAGGGCTCATTCATCACAGCAGGGCAACTTTCGGAGGAATGTTGCACATTCCATGGCACACGTTTGCCATGCTCGCAGCTAGCGAGCTTGTGGCGAAAGCACTGAGCGATTGCGGTGAGATTCGCATTAAGCTCAGCTGCACATACCACCCCGTGCCCCAAACATCAATAGCCTCCAGCCCCGGAAAGAACGGGAGGAAAGGGAGGGAAAGGGAGGGCGGGCGGGCACAAAGATGTACAGCTAGGCTCTGTGCAGCGCACAATGGCCCATGCCTGTGTGGTTCACGGACTCTCGAAGCTTATGCACGCGTGCGACAGAGCCATGCTGGAAAGCACGCGACAAAAGATCTGATCACACTGTTCTTCATTGGCCAATCATCTCATTTTTTGTCTTGGCGCATGCCTTGTAGTCCCACCCTTCGTGGACCAATCATTT